GGCTTTTTCCCTTTGTTCTGTAACGAAGTCTACTATTTGATATTTAAATTTAGCTGTTGCAGCAAGATTATGTTCTTGTGTAGATAAAATAGGTGAGGTCTGGAAAATGAGCGCTTCTAATTTCTCATTTCTGAGTGCCCTGACTTGAGTCTGGTAAGTTGTGTCATTTACCACCACTTTGGTGACAGCTAGACCTAAATGCAGCTTCATGAAGGGCACATAAACCTCTTGAAGGTAAAATTTACAAAGTTAAACGTGTCAAAAAGTGAGAACAGAGGTGCCAAATGGATTTCACTTGCATACCAGCTGCATGGTACCCTGGACTTTGGAGTGGCCCCCAATTTTGGGGGACACAAAGTGTTTAGCAAGTCCACCTTCATTCATGTGGGCCTCTAAGAGCCTGTTCCAGACAGTTTTGCCCCTGAAGTGTAAGGGATGATTATTGAGAGATGGATGGATGGATTCGTTGATTCATTCATTTATTGTCTGAGAATATAAAGATGACCAAGATCTTTACTCTCAAGAAGCTCACAGTCTAGGGAGGGAGGAATACCAGTAATAACATAGTGGTAGCTAATTTTTGAGTGTTTATCATGTGCTAGTTGCTATGGAGACAGTATTTCAAGGCTCTTTGAAGTTTGAAGTCAGAAATAACACCATTTTCTACACAAATATGTGGTTTAGAGATTCTGAAAAGAGAACCAAAAACTTGGCGTTAGATATTACCTAGAACCTTGTCAAACTCAGAAGCATGCAAGTCTGCTTATTTTAGAAACTGCTGCCTCACCTGGGAGAATGCATGGGACGTGCTCCAGGAGCAGACCCCAGGAGAAACTAAGTTGGGATTCAAAGTTGGCACCCCTTGTAGGGTGTGAGGGGCCAGCCACACACTGCCTGCCAGCCTTTGCGTCCTTTTTCCTCTAATCTGGACAAGTCAGCCCTGGCCGCAGAATATGCTGTACAGGATGCTTCTGTAAGAAATGCTCCAGGATGAAAACAGATGTACGAGCACAATGTTCATTTAACACAGATGGCACAAGCGCTTCCTGAAGCATCAGTTGCTGGAAAACTCAAGCCTTGCTGTCAGAAGCTTTAGCACCCCCAAATCCTTCCCATAGCCGTTCTTTCTCCCCAGAACGAGGTGCCTCTTCACTCTAGCATCAGCCCTTTGCCCTTTTAGAAGAACTCCCAGAGTTCTTTTCTCCTCAGCTCTCTCTCAGGGTGACTTCTCTGCCTTGTATTTATTTCTTTTTTTAGACTAAAATCTGTGGATGAAGATCAACAGAATCCTCTCGGTATCTTCCTAGGAGCTGTTCAAGGTGTTCTTAAACTACATCTCTTGCTTGACTCACAAACCACCTACCATCTGATTACTTCAAAGAGAGTGAAACTAGTATTTTTGAAGTCCCTTTTTATGTTACGTGATTAAACATTACCCCTGACCTTCTTGGAACATTTCACTTAATTTCAGTACCCATTTTGCCTATCAGTTAAAGATTTTAAAAGTCACTTTTTTAAAAAAACCTTAATACTATAGGAGGGAATGAAAAAGGAACACGATAAGGATGATTTTTAAAAATTATTCCTATAAAAATTGAAGTAAATTTAAACAAAATAAACTTTTTTTTTGCCCGTAATCATACCACAACCCTAGAACTATTTCCTTATCTAACTTCTCTTCTAGCTTTTACCTTCAATCGTTGTAAACTTTTTTCTATCCCTCGAGGCTTTTTGTAAACACTTTTCTGTTTTGCACTGCATTTGTTTTTTAGTGTTTGTGTGATATATTCCATCAAATTGGTATTCCATAATTTATTACCCATTCCTTTAGTGCTAGACATTAAGGTTATTTCCATTTTCTCTCTATTATAAATAATAGGTGCAAGAACATCTTTGTATATATAGCTTTTTTCCTACGTCTGAATTATGTCCTTAGGATAAATTCCCAGGAGTGGGATTAGTGGGTCAAAGGGTATGAACAGCTTTATGGCTCTTAATATTTATTGCTAAATTGCCCAAAGGGTCATTCTAATTTACAGTACCACCTGCAACACATGAGAGTAGCTGCCCCTCCCAGCCTTTCTAGCACGGATTTCCTCAGTCAATAGTTTGGGGCAAATTTAGCAGGTATTGAAGGGTAACTTGTTACTGTTTTTAATTGGTAATTTCTTTAATTGTTATCAACGTTGGACATTTTTTCTTAAGTGTATTTCATATGTTCTATGTTGTATGGTTTGCTTTTCATGTTGGAATATTATATTTTTTGACACCAAGTGGAATTTAAAATATTTTATAATGAAAATGTCAAATGCACTCAAGACAGAGAGAATAATCAATGAAGCCCCCTAGATCATTACTCAGATTCAACACATAGCAAGATTTGATTACATTTGCTTTATCTACCCCTTCTTTGCCTCTTTTTATTTCCTTTGTGTAATTATTTTAAAGTAAATCCCAGACATTCTGCATATGTTTCCTACATACTTCACTATGCATCTCTAAAACATATGGGCTCTTTCTTATATAATTATAATGCCGTTGTTCCACCTAACAAAGTTAATGATAACTCGTTGTTGTTATTTAATACCACTCTGTAATAAAATTTTCCAAAATATCTTTAAATATCTCTTTACTGATATTTACTGATCTTTTTATTGATGTTTTGTTCCAATCAGCATCAGGAGAAGGTACATTCCATTTGGTTGTTATGTTTCTAAAGTCTTTTAATCCAGAGCACACTGTCTCTGTGTACACTGGTCCACCCCGGCAAGTTTACCCCACCCAGTGACTTACTGCAGGAACTGAGTCCGATATCCTGTGAGAGTTCCCACATTCTGGATTTGACCTTTTGTTTTCTTATTAGCTCTAGGAGCTTCATTAGATTCATTTTCAGCTTTTTGCGGGGGTGGGGGTGGTGCACAGGAATACTTCATGGTGGTCTACGTGATTCATTTTGTATCAGTTTGGGGGCACACGATGTCTGTTCCACTTGGAGTGATGCTGAGGCTGATCATGGATTCAGATGGTGACAGCTCAAAGCTCAGTTGTAAAGTCCCCCATCAGCTTTGCCCCTCACTGTTTTGTCTGTTAATGACAGTTGTTTGAGTCCGTTATTTCATAGGATTGCACAGTGGTGATTTTCTAAATTTATCATTCTTTTCCCATTTATTAACTGGAATTCTTTTGAAAAGTAAAACTTTTTCCCTCATAAACTAGGACTTGTTAGTAATCTCAAAATGCAGTTTGTACAAGTAAAGCAGGATAAATGCTGTATTCTTTCCTGGAAATTGCCAAGTTTCTAAGTCATTTCCAATGATGTCCAATGAGTTGTTGTTGCTGTTTTGTTTTTGTTTTTTAAGAGTCATAGAATACTCAGGGTTTTAAAAAAATATATAATCCTTGTGTTTTGCTCAATTACATTCATTATTCTTTTTGATGCTCAAATTGTCCCATCTTTGGCCCAAGGGAGACCCTTCATGTCCTTGTTTTTAGGCACAACAAAGTATCTCAGGTTCACCTAGTATATTTTTTGTGCCCTGGAATGGTCAATTCCTCCAGGATATCTGTATTGTTATTGGTGGGGAATAGCATTTAGAGACCACAATCTGGATATGTTATGTGCTTATTGTTATTGCTTCTAAGTTTTCTCAGTGGACAGAGCTAGGACATGCATATTTAACAAAAGAAAATAAAAGATTGTGAGTTCATACTGATACTTTCGTTTCAAATTTAACAATTTTTTTTTAATTCTTAGATTTCAGACTTGTGTTTCCTTCTCTTACGCTAAAAATCTTGGTTCCAAACATTATTATACTATAATAAATATCAAATAGTTTCAGAATAACAATACCAAATCACTACTAACAATTTCCCTAGCGAATGAGAGATTTCTTTGCAATTCTATTTGTGTTTAGAATACATTCCAGTAAATATATACAGTCAAATACCTTGTTCTAAAAACAATTGCATTGGGCCGGCCCCGTGGCTTAGCGGTTAAGTGCGTGCGCTTCACTTCCGGCGGCCCGGGTTCGGATCCCGGGTGCGCACCGAGGCACCACTCCTCCAGCCATGCTGAGGCCGCATCCCACATACAGCAACTAGAAGGATGTGCAGCTATGATAGACAACTATGTACTGGGGCTTTGGGGGAAAAATAAATAAATAAAATCTTTAAAAACAATTGCATTAATTCTTTTCATGAATTTGATGTACAGTTAAATTCCTTTATTTCAGTTTGTTTTCAGGTTTTAGGATTCACTTTTTTTTCTTTTAGGTTTAATTTTATTTTTTTGAATCTGTAAAGTGTGCTTTCAAAGTTAAACGTATGTAACCAGGTGTTACAGAGCAACCTGCCTCCTCCACAGTTTGTCTGTGGAGACATGATATATGAATGGAAAACAAAGTTAGAGTTCTCCGAGGTAGAATATATTATAAAAACACAGGTGAAGGCCCAGCTCACGTCTCTCTCTTCAGGAAGCCTTCCCGCCTGCCCCAGGCCACGTGAGTCCTCAGTCCTCTGAGAATTTCATTAGCATTTTTAGTGACAATGACTGTTTTCCCAGGCCAAAACTTTTGACACCTGGTTGAACAAATATGAGTGAACTAACAGGAATAACAGAGGTGAATGTTTAAAATGCGAACTGCCTCATAAATTCAAGCTGAGTAAATTATTTTATATAGAGTTGTCTCTGCATTTCCTAAAACATGTTCTCTGGGACATCTGTGGGATGTTAATAAGGGTTACAGGGCAAAATCAGTATGGAAATGTTAGGTTAAACAAACCTAATGAGATGTAACTCCAAAATCAGATCTCATGTCCCAAGCTTATCTTGCCGCAGAACCCCCTTTCCATGGAGCACCTCGTGTTAATACTGTTCCATGAAACACAAAGAACCAATATATAGGGCTCTGGTTGAATGAAAACCAAAGGTATCTCTTTCAGGTAATGACTTGTAAAATTCTACGTTTTTGATTAACAATTTTCAATTTGTTTCTTTTTAGATTGAATCATTAAAGAAAAAGGTGCAACAGAAACAGCTCCTAATATTGCAACTTTTAGAAAAGATATCTTTCTTGGAAGGAGAGGTAAGAAGCTGTGTTTCTTTAAGTTGGTGTCTTCCCTACCATTAAATTTTATGTTGCTGAGTCGACCACCACCGACACTTAATTAAATATATGGCTATTTCCTGGCCTTATAAAATTGATTGAAGGTTAACTGCCAACACTGAAAATGAGGTTTTGACAGCTAGTTTTTCTTTACCACCTGCCTCTCTTCGTTCCAGCTTGGTGCTCGACTCTGCTTTTTGGCTCTCATTTTTCTTGTTCAAGAATTTTCTTAGCACGTCTGATAAGCTGTTGATTAATACTGATAATTTCCCCCATTTGTGAAATATTTTCGCACACATTCCTCACATGATTCTCTCAGAAACTTTTAGAAAGGCAAGACAAGGATTATTATCTCTATATTAACAAATTAAAAAAAGAGTGCACAGAGAAGGCAGGTGGCTTTGCTCAAGGTCACCCAGCTTAACGCCAGAGCCGGCTTCAGAGATGGACTCTTAATCCAGAGCTCTTCTGTGACGTTGAGTCAACGTATTTTAGAGGTGATGTCATTTCACCTGAAACTTTTAAGATATTTTGTATTCCTGACTTTCTGGCTTTTTGAAAGTCATTTTGGGGATTTTGTGTAGGTTCCAAAGAAGGAAATTAAAGAGTTGGAAGAACCTTATGAGCTTGGGTATTAATAGAAGGAGAAGCCAAAATCTATTTGCTCTGAAGGCTCTTTATTAAGAGCTTGGCATTGAGCCTCTTCCTTTTGAGCCTCCATGAATCTCTCCTTGTCTGAGCTCCTCACTATAGTCCTTCCCCCATGGGAGACAGCCCAGGAGAGAATGATGAAGTAAGGAGACAAGAAAGAAAAGACATTTATTAAGCACCTAGTATGCATTGGGCACTGTTAATTGCTTTCCATATCCTTGGTATAACATTGAAGTTAAGAGTGGAATCAGACTTGTCCAAGTTTGAAGCCCAGATCTGCTTCTTATTAACTGGGTGACCCTGGGGAAGTTTCTTATTATTAGGAATTGAGGATGAGAACTGCACCTACATGTGTGTGACCCTGCAATGAGAGTGCATAGAAAGGGCCTGGCATGTACTAAGCACTCATAATTTTTGACTTATTAATGTTGTTCTCTCTTTATTAAGAGGGATGCCCTAGGAGTTAGATTATATTTCCCCCATTTCATCGATGGAGAAACTGAGGCTCAGGGACATTAAGGAACCTGCCCAAGGTGACGGTAAAATGGGTAAGCCTGAATGCAAAGCCTGAGCTCTTAACCACCATGTTTATAGGGATGGCGAGCTGGGTCTTCATTTACTCTGTTTTTGAGAGGCTCCCTAGAAAAGTCATCACCAGAAGTCTCTCATGGCCCATGGGGACCTGGTAGCAGATTCAAGGCCCAAGAGTCTCAGTGTCCTGACAGTTGAGTAAAGGATACTTGCCCTGTCCTGCTCCTATCTTCCTCTCCCCAGTCACTGGGTCCAGCTCCAGCCTTATGAATGGACATTCCTGTTTCTAAGATTGCCCTCTGAAATCACAGCTCCCTGTGGGGGGAATCACACCTTCCCCAGTGAGAGTCAGAGAGCGAGTGTCCTGGTGCAGAGAGAGGGTGGTTCCAGGAGAGAGGAAAGAGATGCTGACAGGAGAGGTAGAAGGTCACCCAACACAGTGCCCACCCTCCCTCCCCCTGGCTGTGCTACTCAAACCAGCTCTCTTACTGGTAGATTATGAAATGTCCAGGGGATATTGTGCATGGAGCAGAGTCTTACACATATGTGTGCCTTGTTCAATGCTTGATTTATTAAACCCATCTCTTCTCTTAGTTTGGGTTTCGCACACCCTAAGATGTGTATATGAGTCCATATAGTTCAATTAGGAGGTAATGCCAGGAAGCCCAAGTAGGGAAGGGGGGAAATGAGTCAGGGAAAGGACTAAAGCCAATAACGGATGTCTTATTGAGGAGGTTACCACTGTGGTCAGCTGTGGTCACTCTCCCTGGGGGTCTCTAGGAGATGGTATGTACTGGCCTCTGAGTTATCCTTACCAAAAGGTCAGAAAGCTAGGGCATTTATCCACTAACTCCCATCAGTCGCTGGTTGAGCCGTGCTCCTGGGGGTTGTGGCCATTCTGGCTGGCCCTGGGCAGAACCAACTGGTCTCTGGTGGGCAGAGGAAGCCCCCAGGTAAGGAGTCACAGGTGGCATGTCAGGAAATGGTGTATGTCCAGAGGATATGGGTGGGGCCAGCAGTGTCTGCCATGTATATCTAATAAGCAAGACTTTGAAAACCAGTTTTCCTTGAGCATTTAAACATTGATTCTGTTTGATTGATTAATTTTTCTTAAACTATTTAAATTCCACTACAAATTTAGTACAGCTGATTCCTTTTGACCACTTCACACACCCACCTTAAATAGCAGACAAAACACACACTAAATGAGTTATATAATGACAAGACTTAATAATACACTTACATTTTAACTTATTCTAAAATATTAAATATCTTGGGTTTCATTTATTTATTTATTATTTCTGTTCTTGTTTTTTGCATCTTCCCAAGGCTATTGTTTTACTTATTTCTAAGTTTGCTTAGAGTTAACATCATTTTGACATTTTCCAGACAGGTGCAGTGATCTTTCAGATCCAAAGGAGGTAGAACACCTTTTCTGAATAGCTAAGGTTAGAGGATGTGGCTTACTGACTCACTAATTCTTGGGCAGGTCACAGGATTAGGTGACTTCTAGGTGATTCAAACTCAGGACCCCTAATCATTGTGATGCATTGACCTGGTCTTTAGCACTCTTAAAAACTTATACATTCCTTATTAATATTTTACCATCCTTTGTTGGGCTAGATAGAGATTTCATCTCCTAGGAGATGAGAGTACTTGGTTTTCCTCTTTAGGCTGTACGCCTGGTTTATCATATTACAAACCCACTGCTGGCTGTTGTTTCTCTGCTGATTGTGTGTAACTACTAAAGCCAATGAATTTCTGGCCCCTTTCCACCCCTTTATTATATGATGACCTGTGCCAAGAGTCCTTCTGTGGGCCTGAGAGTCCTGGAACCACCCGACTTACATTTCCTTTTGTTATTCTTTCCTACTTAACATAGACATTTTATAAACAGACATATAACTAATGCTCTGTAAAAGAAACGAAATCACCTTATATATTAATGCTTCCTAGTTTTAGAAACCCATACAAATTGTAATATATCTTATTAGAGTCACCCTTCTTTCCTCTGAAAACTCTCTTTTTGTACACTTGATATTAACTTTCCCTTTGAGTGACAGTATAAGCACAAGGCATTTCTCAGACTCACCTTATTTCCATGATTATTTCCTTCTCCTCCTCCTTTTTTTGATGCTCAAATTGTCACAGCTCAGTGAGGAGAGTTCTCCTATGTTAACTTTGCCCGTGTGGCAGGGTTGCTGATGCTCTTGGAGTCATTCTTGCTGTGTGGCAACAACAAGGTGTTCCAGACATATCCTCGTTTTTGTCCTGTGCCAGGATATGGAATTGACTGGTCTCTATGGAGCCGTGACTCATTTTATTGGGGAACTGTATTGAGGACTATCTGGGCATGAGAATTGGAAGTGGGCTAAATTGCTGTGCCTACTGTTAGGCCAATTTTAGTAGTGACAGCATTGGGGGAAATACGTGTCTTTCAAGATTATGAGGTTGCATCAACGTTTTCCAAATTTATCTAATTATATAGCTTTACAATACAGGGTTCTGTTGGCCACTAAGAATTTCTATTATGTTGACCTATTCTAACACCAGCAATTTTTATACTATGACATTCCATCCCCTGCCTTACGTCATAATGATGCCATTCGTGGTGTTTCAGATATCTTCGAAAAGTTTTGGTGGATAAATCTGGTAATCTCCCATGTTCCATCTTATTAATAAAGTAGCTACCTTTTATTAAGGGCCTAATTGCAGACTCTGGAGCCGGACTGCCTGAGATCAAATCTCACCTCTGCCACTTACTAGTTATGTGATCTTGAGCAAGTTACTTAACTGCTCTGTGCCTTAATTTGCTCATCTGTAAATGGGAATCCTCTCTTTAAAATGGTATCCTCTCTGCAGAGTTGTTACAAGGATTAAATTAGTTAATAATAAGTGATTAGAAAAGTACATGGCTCATAGTAAATGCCATATGTGTTTACTGTTTCTTCAATTGGCTAGGTTCCAAAGAATCCTCTCATTGTCATTGATATATATTTCTCCTTCCTCCTCCTCCCCTGCCTCCCCATCCTCCCTCTATTTCTCCTCCTCCTCCTCCCCATCCTCCTCCTCCTCTTCCTTCTCCTCCTCCTCCTCCTTCTTTAAATAGAGAATGTGGATTATTTTGGTCCCTGAATTCATCATTTGTCTTACTGATGCTTAAACTCATTAGATTTTACAACCCCCACCCCCACGAGATCCCTAAAATCATGCTCTAGCCTGGCCGCATCACACTGCATTTTCATCAACAGATTCAAATCTTCGGGATACAAAAATACGCCCTTTCTTTTTTCGTTTTCTTTTTCTCCAATTTTTTATCTGCTCACCTCTTGAAGAAATATCCCATCCTCTATTTCCGATATAGAAAATGTTATTAAAATAAAATTACAAGCATATATCTTCAGAAGATATATGATAAGTTGATAAGCTTTCTGAAACTCTGAACAGATTCCATTTCATTTTTCTCGGCTGAAAATCCTAAACTTACAGCTAAATTCAAAAGTCAGAAGAAAGGAGTCAAATGTCTTGGTTTTGTCTATCCTGCACCTAATGTGTGTTGTGTGGTACATAAACCTCTCAGCATGTCTGTCGTGCATTCCTGGGACTATTATTAATTCTCCTGTGTAATACTGGGGCGGCAGCACCAGGCACCAGGGCTCCACGTACGCATTTTATTGGACGCACATTCTTGTTTAGTGCATGTGCTACAGCTCCGGCTGCTCCTTCCCTGGGCCTGAGGGAGTTGGAGGAGAAGGTGGCTGCCATATATTTGTGACATAATTTCCAAAAAATGCCAA